ATTTTGTTTCGATTAGTACTAAATATTGTTTAAAAAGATCTTTTAATTCAATATCATCTTCTAAATTATTGATTATATCAGTAATATCAATACATTGCGGTTTTTCCGATCGTATACACAATGATATCAATCCAGAATTTTGATTCATAGTAGTTTTGGATTTATACATTTGACCTATTAATGGTATACCTAATTCAATTAAACATTTTATTGATGCAATTGAACGATGTTCAAGTGCAAGAAATAATAATGGAATATAACGTTGACCTTGAATATAATCATTTAAAGATGAATTTGGATTAAAATCTTTAAGATGAAAACCCATTTGAATGATTTTATTATTAATTAATTTAATATCTTCAATAGAATTATTTTCAATAGCTTTTTTTAAACTTGAATAAAAAGCTAATTTTAAATAATTACTAATTACTGATGATTTTTTTTCTAATTCATGTGTTGGAAAACCTTGAGCGTGAAATTCTTCGCAACATAAATCACGATTAAGTAAATAATCATTTGGATAGAAATTCATACAATCAATAATCTACACAAAACTTTTTTCTCTTTAGAAGAATCAAATAAGAAAAGAAAATTTTTACTTGTTTGCCATTAGATTGTTCAAGAATTTCGATAGATTTTTTATCATCCATTATACATGCATAATGGTAACATGTACGATTAAGATTGTCTCCTGCATTGATTACATCATTACAATTATCACAAATGAATCTGAATAAAAACTTATGCTTTTAAAATATGTCAAAAACATTTGTAGAAGTTAAGGATTATAGAGCTACTATATGGAATTGACTTGAAGTCGAATCAAAATCTCACATAGCTAACGGGAAGACTAGATAGATTGCCGATGAGAGAGTAGTACTATACATAAGAGGTCGACAAGTTCAACTTTAGCTCAGATCTGTTGAAAATGTTCTCTGATCTCTACTTTGAACTAGGAACTTGTCGATCCATACTATTTCAAGATTGTCCCGAAAATTTTCGGTAAGATACATTCGGGATCGTGTTATCTTGAAAATATAATCTTCATAAAACTTAAGCCTTTTTTAATAACCTCATCTTAATTTTTCAGGATGTATTGTGTCACTTATTATCGTGCTGGATATAAACACACATGCATCAGTTCTGAACGTTATGTTCATTAATGTCTTCAACGTAACGAGTTCCTCTGATAAGTAATCGATCCATTATGCATTTAGCTACTAATAGATGAATGTTCTTGCTTATCGATCAATGTCTTCGTATTGATAAAAATTTATGTAAACTGCTATGTTGCTTAGAAAATGAGACGAGAAAATATTTTACTAAACAAATTTAACAAATTATGAATCGAAAAATAAAAATATAATATTAGTTAAGTTCAATCTTGTGCTGTCATAAACAATTCAATGAGAATTGATTAAGTGCTTACTTAACAGAGACAGAATCCGTTCGGTTTCCAACGGAATCGATTTCGATTTGATTCGAACTTTTTAACAACTAGATCTGTTTGACTCGGTTCAGTTCCAAAGAAATGTGAGTGGATTCCATTTCTATTATTCAATCATATATTTAAGTTACTTACAATTGATCCTAATCGAGATATTTACAATAAATTAGATTCAAAGTATTATTTTCTCCTATTCATTTATCAAAGTGATTATGCACAAAGACGAAATAAAGTAAGCAAATTTTTAATCATCAATGTTATTATGAAACAGAATCGTGACACAAAGATCATTCGACTAACGTTTTTTGTCTTACTTTAAAATAATATATCTTTGATGAAGTACCGCTAAATGTGCACATGTTCTTCCAAATGAATCTTTCGTATAAAAAATATTCGGTTCGATTTTAAAAATATTTTTTAATTTCATAAAATTATCATCCGTAATAGATTGTTTCAAATCTGTTATTAAAACAGGTAAACCTTTATATAATTTTAATGAACATAATAGATTGTAAACATATTTTGTCATTTGTAAATTTTTATTTTGAAAAAATATTAATAAATAATAACCAAAATGATTTAAAATAAATTGTTTAATAATGAATTTTTTCTTTAATTGTCTTATTAATACATTCATAATCGCATTATAAAATGGTCTTAATTTATTATAAATTTCTATTGATGTTGTAAATTCAATATATTCAATTATAGTTTGTTCTTGTTGATTACGTTGAGTAAGAAGTAATGGATAATGATAGAGAATATTTAGAAAAAGATTTAAATATTCTTGATTTTCGTTTTTCGTATATAAATAAATAAGATAAAATAAAAATGTTTCACCTTTTGATGATTTTATATACATATTGGAATTTAATAAAATAATTTTTCGTATATTATTTGAAATAAAATCATTAAAACAATGAAAAAAAACTGGTAAACCATCCGTACATAATATATTAACATCAATATTTATTATTGAAGAATTATTAAATAAAATTTCAAATGGTTTAGATGAATATGTATTAAGACAATATTCTAATAATGATTTTGAACATGTTCGAATACATGTTAATCTATGAATAGAATCAAATGAATTTAATTTTAAAAATTTATTGTCATATTCATATATAATTGATGTTCGATTCCAATCACATGCTAATATTGAATGAAGAAATTCATTTGTTACTTGATAATCAGCAAGAATATTAAGAATTGATGTACAATTAAGATCACGTGCTTTATCTAATAATGATTTATTTGAATTATATTTACAATCGACTTTAATAAAACCTAAATTTTATTTAAAAATAATTTTATATATTAATAGAAAAATTATTATTTATTTACCTTTAATTAATCGTTCTGTTTCTTGTATATTACTTACTTCTATAGCCGCCCATATACCTTCACCATAACCTTTATATAAAGCTGCTAATTGTGGATTATTTTTAATATAAGCATTTGCTGTTTTGCCTTCATCATTAACAATACGTGGATCAGCTCCAACACGAAATAAAGCCTCAACAGAAATATTTGTTGTATACAAACAGATACATATTGCTATTTTCTCAATAGCTTTTCCTATAAATTTATGATATTCAATAGCCGATACTCAGAAATTAATTGATGAGACAAGGATGCAACAAGACCTGGATCATGATTTCAAAAATGACTGTTTTTAATATTGAGAATTCATTATCCTGTCATTTTTTTTATAATGTTTCTGCTAAGTTTTAATTGTCCTACGTGAAGTAATACAAAAAAAAAGTCAGCTTTAAAACCACCGTCCAGTACTTGGTGCATCCTTATAATGAGGAAATTTTCCCAGCTGTATCTCGTTGTTTAAGTTCATATTGAGCCTACAAGAAAGTCGCGGTAAGACTAGAAAAATTTTAGAAGAACTCGTCCTCATGGATCTTCAGAACTGAATTTTCGACCGAATTTTAGGTATTTGTAGGAAAACCAAATAACGAAATTTCGAACTGAAATATAACTCATAGATAGGTCTAATGATCCTTAAAATATTCTGACAGTTGCAGCCAAAACGAATTCGCCTTTGTTGAGATATTGGATTTCCAAAAATTTGTCGTTTGCGACAGACATGTCACAAACATGAAGTTTATTGTAAAATTTAATACCTTGATAAAGGAACAAAGCCCAAGCGGACGAACCCTTTTTTGTCGTCTTACCGAGACCTCCATGTGAACGCAATATACGTTTAAACGGCGAATTACAACTGAAAAAGTTCCCTATCATTTTATTTTCTGATTTGTCAAAGCTAACTCGTTTCTACTTATGAGCTGCATCAATTAATGAAGAAGTATTTAATATTAGAAAAAGAATTTCTTTATTAGTTCGGTCATCAGTAGACATGCACCAAACTCCAACTCTCAAACAGTTCGGATTTGAGTTTGATGCATGTCTAGTCATCGGTGAAAGATCTTAAAATAGACACTCTTATTCTCTACGTCGTATGTATTTCTAAAATATGTTTAATCATTTAATTTTTATTTTTAAACATGTCGTCGGAAATGTCGCTCTCTATTATTGATAAAATGGCACTGCGCATCTTTTTGAAATAGATATTTTTAATACTCAATTAAATTAAATACCTGAATTAGATCAAATCCAGTGTCGACAAAATCTCGAATGAGAATATGCAAAGGTGTATTACCCTTAGCATCTGTTACATTGGGATCGGCACCAGCATTACTCAATGCATAAATCATTCGAAAGGCGCTAATATGCAAACAAAATAATAAATAATATCAAGTGAATAAGTATTTACTTTTCTTGACCATTTGAATTTCGACAAATAATGTGAAAATATGAACCTTCTTTCGGATGATTGAATGTAGCTAATTCAGGCTCTTCATGAAGTAATGAATTGAGTTGTTGTAAAAGTTCGATTGAATACATTCGTCGATTAGAAAGTAATTTATATAAGCGATTATTATAAAATGGATCATTGTTTAAAGACATTAGTCTCTCGTTATCTATCTCTTTTTACTATCAAGAGTAAAAATTTATCAGTGATAAATGACAAAAAAAAACAAATAGCAAGATTTTTTAAATGTTCATTAACAAATATTTGATGTTATGAAATAATTTCGATGATAATTTTTAGAAGAAAATGCGTACTGTGTTAAATGTTATAATAGGTTTTCAAGAAAAAAATTTATATTTTTACATATTAATATCTGATCATTAGAAAATAAAAAAGTTGATTTGTCTTTCATCCTTTGTCATAAAATCATGTAATATAAAGAAAATGTTTGCATTATTATTCGTTCATTTTAATAGGTTCTTTAAAGTAGTATGTGTAAAAAAACGTTTCATCAATATATTTGTTTGTCATTGAATGCTGTTTTTTTTCTTGTTGATAGATGGAACACAAATTTTCTTTTCTTAAATATACATTTATATGAGAATAACTTTTGAATATAAAAAGTTCATTTTATAATGAAAATAGAAGTAATCATATTAAATTGAAGTACGAGAAGCAGAAGACTTTTTTTTAAAGCAATAAATATATCTCAAAATATTGACTTAACAAAGGTGATGACGTCGTCAGCAAAAAGAAATAATAATAAGATGAGATAAATTTAAGGGTAGTTTCTCAATTAATAATTATCTCAAAAGAAGAAATTTTCTTATGTATCTGTACTTTATATGACATTTTTTGTAGAATTTACGTTCTGTTTTTCGAAGAAAAATTATTGAGTGTAAGTTCATGAATGCTTTTTCCATCAAGATAATTAATAGTTCATTTTTCTATCCATGTATTCAATTACTTCGCCATATGGTACCTCATCATCTATAGATGAATTTTCATTAAAAACGAATTCTCTTAGTAAAATAATATTATGATCAAATCGATTTTCAT